GGTGTCAGCAAATAGATACATATCTCTATCTTTCTGACAATCCAATCAAAATTTAAGAAGTGACTTTACTAAGTATGTATTTGGTCATCATAATTGTTAGGCATTTATTAATTCAGGAGTGATACCTTAACACCTTCTTGCCCTTTGGCTCCCATACCCAGTTCATTAACAAGTCTCCCTTCCCATTGACATCAGAGCCTCCTTAGTGCAAGCTGTCACTATCTTTTGTCTGGATTCCTGCCAATATTTCCAAACTTATCTGCTGTATCCATTCTTGAGTTGCTCTAATTCATATCCACATTGTACAGAGATTAATGCTTCAAAATCTGATTAAATCTCCACCTGCTTAAGCCGTGTAAGGCCTTTCTGTTCTTTTTAGGGTAAAGACAATACCACCTAACATGACCAGTGAGGCCCCATGTGACCAGCCTCTCCTAACCTTCCAGGCTCCCTTCCTTCCACACTCACTTTTGCTCTCCCTACACTGGTCAAAATGGTTCTTCTCTGTCTTGTGGATGTGCCGTGACTCCATCCTACACAGAACTTTTGTACATTCTGCCCCCTTTGTCTAGAATTCTTTCCTCCTATTTTAATCTAGTTCCTCACTCTCACCCACACATCAAATCCCAGCTCAATTGACATTTACTCCACACATTCTTCTGTGATCCCCCTAAGTAGGTAACTGAATTCTATGTTCTCACAGCACTATTTACCTCTTCACTTCTGTGTTTCCCACAGTTGCAGCTGTACATTTATTTCTGTGTCTATTTGATTGATGGTCAGGGACTATGTGTGGCTCAGCTTTCTAGGTAGTACTAGTACCCAGAACAGTGCGTGGTACATAGTAGTAGCTAATGAATATTTGTGCAATATTCATAAAGGGCAGAGATGGTTCTCGTGTAGGGGCTTATGCTTAGATCCATTGGGAGTAAATGTAATTCATAGAAGTTTATGACATGAGTTAAAATCTTTGAAAGATGTGACTGTTGATTTCAGCTTTCAATTGTGTAGTGAGTAATAGTACCCGTCCTGTTTGCATCGTTATTCCTCTGCTGGAGAACCCTGTGGGACTATAGATCACCCATAAAACTTGGCTTATGTGGTTTAGAATCTTAAGTGGTATCTACTTTATACACATCTGCAGCCCTGGATTGTGGGAGCAATTGAGCCAGCTTGTTCCTCTATAAGCTGTCAAAAATTTCTGCTCAATTTAGATTGGTAAATCTCTTTAGCAAAGATTGTTGTCCAGTATTTATTCTGAATTTTCTAATAGTCCTCAACCACAGCACAATTTAAAAACAAGACTTAAAAGAGTTTTAACATAGAATAGGCAGAATATACGTGGGCACTGTTTTCTCACTACAGTAGTGTATGTGCTGTAGTTACTACTAAATGACACTACTGAAAATCACGTGGTCAATAATTATCTAACATCATATACATTTTCTTAGAATTATTCTAGGAATAATAGTAAGTCAAGTCATGTCAATTCTGCATAATGAGAAACTGGATATAGATAAAGTTTCAACCAGTTGGTGACAATTTCATAATTGCTGCAGGCAGCAAGAGTGACAACCCTTAATCACATATCTTTCAAATTTCACTGTTCACCCCAAGCCTTTTTATCTAATCAGGGCTTGGAACAAGGATTCATAGAAGCATTTCATGAAAGGATAGACTGTGCATTTGTATAAATGCAACTACTATATTGCAATTGAGCAATACACACACTGCTGTTTTGTACCACCAGCAAAGTAAATAAAATACTGCTCTGGTGCTAGCAGTTTGCAGATGATTTCTCTGGAGGAATAGCCAAAATTTGTCATTAAGACATCTAAACTTTAATGTCCAATTAATAGTGAATGCTGTTAATAATATGGTAAAGCTCCATTATGAAGTAAGCCAAACAATTCAATGTGCAGGTCATAAACAAAGTAATTCAGAATAATTTATTCTAATGCTCCATTTCTCTAAATGCGGTCCTTATATGACTTGCATCAAAATATCCTATCGTGCCAGTTCTTGTCTGGCCCCTAAACTCCTCTTTCTTCTCCCCCACCCTTGCCACGACCTAATGAATCAAAATCTTGGGGAGTAAACATCAGGCATAAATATCATAAACATCAGTGTTTTAAACAAGCCCCCAGGGTAATTCTTATGCCCAATAAAGTTTGAGAACCACAGAATGATTTCCAGGGACTGAGACTGTTGAGAGATTTGTTTATAGTTCTAGGTTTTCTTCTGCCAGGGGGCAGTGTTCTCTGAAATATGGCTGAATTAATAACCCATGCGGGAAGTTCATTTTTCAGTCTTTCACATGCACTTTCTTGTTTCCTGAGCCAGCCACGTGTGACCTTATACCAAAATCTTATACACCATAACAAGTGAACTTTCTTAATTTAGTTTTTTTATAGAAGGTTTTGGACTATCTTCCAGTTTTTAGTTGAATCTCTCAACCTACTTTACTCATTATCAGGCTTTTTTTTTTCTGAGCTTTAGCTAATGAGGGGTATTTTGCAGTTGATTTGATGCCTGAGGTAGGGATTTTGGTCATCCTCTGACAGTTAATTGATCATAATCACTTTGTAGTAAAATTCTGTTTAACTATGGCTGGATGATATGTGGGTGCACATGCACGCTTGTGTGAGAGTGTTAATAAGTTCCTTATGCACAATAAGTTGGTAAAGATAAAGTTCTTTGGCAGAACAGTTAACAGAAATAGTGGCTGAGCTCAACCCTTTTGGGTAATGGGTAACAAGTGTTGTACAGAAGCCAATTCTGGACGAAGTTGGTTGTTACTCTTACAGCTCTCCCCAACCCCCTGCACTGCTAATCCGCATGTCAAAGAAAAACTTCATGGATGATGTTCAGCTCCTGAGCTCTAAGTTTTTTTTTTTTTTTTTAAGGGAAGCCTTCCTTGTCCTCAAGCTGGGTTTATACAATCAAATGCCAGACAAAGTCAAAAGTTGCTGGACTCTGGCAAAGCCTAGGGAGGTTGCAGAGAAGAGGAGGCTGGTGTTTCAGAACATTTGGGACACTGTGGCATACAATGAAATAACAGGATTGCCATGATATTTTCCTTTTGGGTTTATAGTTTTTCTCTATAACGGCAGGTTTGTCTTTTGAAATTTAACATAAATAGCAGAAAAATCTTATATGGGGTTAACATCTTTTATAAGCCTTGCTAAATACCCAAGTCCAAATCAGTTCAGTATGGTGTACAGACTAAAGCAAGAGACTTATATAGAAAAATTTATAAGCCTGCCATCTCTGCAAGAGTGCAAAACTAAAAGGATTTTAGAAAAGCGACTTAAAGTTTGGCAGTATATTTTCTTTCTTTCTTTCTTTTTTTTTCAATTAGCTGTTACTAAATCCTAAAATCTATAATGAAACCCAGACCTACTATACAATCCACTATAAACAAGTTCTTGCTTTTGTGCTATCATGTTTTATTTGAGTAGAGCCACTACTCCGTTAGTAATCTGTTGCATGGTAAGTCTCGTATTTGTTTATGTACTAACACATGCGCTGTGCAAGAATGACAGTCACCGGACCTCGGGCCTGGTGAGGGAAAAGCCAAAAACAAACCTTCCTTCTTTTCAATCCTAAAGGCATATAATATTTAAACAGCCCTCAGATTTAGAGATCTTGATTTCTTCTTTAGAGAGTGTACTGGTTGCCAAATTGCTTAGTAAAGAGACTCTGGCACTCACCATAGCCTCAAAGGACACAGTGTTTGGTGGCTAGATGGTAATTTAACTGGGAAATAACTAGGGAAACAGTTCTTTAAATCTCAATTCTTGCTGCCATTGAGATTTCCTTCCTAAATTCAATTGCTAATAAAGCTTTTCTATCCCATTCCCTACCACCACCACCCCTGCCCCCCCCCCCACCCCCAGTCTCCCACCCTTCCCCCTCAAAACCACCAAAAGCTAAGAGTTTTTTTTCTGGGAAGAAGAGACAGAGACTGAGGTCATTTTGTCTTTCTTCATAAGGCAGAAGGACTTTATGCTGCTTAGCTGGCATTTCCAGTATTTTGATAAAAGTAACTTCTCTAAACTTGAGCAACATGGGGAAAATAATGCTATCTTTTATGCTAGTTACAATTTTGGGGAGATTTCATCGTGAGAAACATTTGAGGAGTCAGAAGTCGCTGAGAATGCGGTAATAGGGAAGGGGCGTTCAAACTGCCAGCAAAATAAATAAATGGGAAAGACAGGAACGTTATTAGGTTTGTAAATGACAGAACTTTCCTTGTTTTAAAAAAATAAAGTTGTGAGGTTGACGACATTGAATCACTACATTGTAAACCTTAAAAGCTTAAAGCTGGTAGAAGCCCTTGCAGAGCTCTGTTTCATTTTTATCGGATAAAATACATTTGGTTTCTTTTTGACAAACCATGTTTTTGTGAGGGAAGGAAAATGAACATGCACTGTTATTGGCCACAGCAACATAAGAAACCCTCCTGTTGCCAGAGGATACCACATGAAAGTGTGTGTGGGTTAGGGGAGGGGCCGATAAGGGGGTGGGGAAAAGGAAGAAGATATCTTAAGCCTCTTATGCCGAGAGCTGGGATTTGTGAACAAGCTGTGATGAAATCAGGCTCTGGACAAATCAAATGAGCCTGTCAACCTCCCAGGTGGGATTGCTTGTAGTTAATAGACTAAACTCGGAGCCCCAAAAGCAGTGCCTTCAGTGTAGGCAGAGAGAACACGCTGCAAAAGGCTTTCCAAGAATCCTCTGACATGGCAAGGAGAAGCTCGCTCCAGTCGTACCAGGTGGGAGAATGATGGAATGACAGGGGAAAATACTTGGGCTTCAGAATCAGTGGCTGATCTGAATTTTTCTTTTTGTTATTTAAATTAAGACAGCACCTTATGGTGCATTTTAGAAGTTATAGGATTGGGTGGTTAATGTTGAAGTCATTTGAATTGCCTTCATGCAATTTGATTTAGTCCTGTCTAGCTGTATTTGACAACTTGATCTCTTCATTCCCTTAGATAATATCCCTGTTCACTTTTGCTGTTGGAGTCAATATCTGCTTAGGATTCACTGCACATCGAATTAAGAGGGCAGAAGAATGGGATGAAGGTCCTCCTACAGGCAAGTGTAGCAACTATATGCATTTTCAATTTTTTAAAAATACTGTATACCAGGTAATCACAAGCTCATTAAGAAATTTACCTTTAAGATAATTTTGCAGTATAACTAAGTTAGACTTAAATTTCCCTGGAATAAAACCGCCTATATGAATAATTCAGATGAGAGAGTGTGGTTTTAATTAAAGAGCATTTATGTTTCATGATAGCTGGCTATTTTAATCTTTGTACTGTGAAATTTATAAATGTTAAGACACAGTTAAACTCTTGTCTATGGATAAGGCTAAAGTGGAAGTGGTGAGGACAGGTGTTGTCTTAATATCAGAGATACACAAATATGATTTGCTGTCATATGATATAGGATATAGTATTTGCCGCTAGAAAGTTCTGACCTAGGAAAAAGAGGAATAAAAGGAAAAAAAGACAGTGAACTGTCTTTATAAAACTTCGGAAAGTTAGGACTTTAAGATTTACCTAAACTTGGAAAGGCATAAAAGAGAGGAGGTACTTAATGAGTTTATAGGATTGATTTGTACTCATTGTCTTTTCTTTTGGCATAAGGAAAGGTAATTTTTAATAGTGTACTTTGACTTAACTAATAGAACCAAAGTGAAAGAGTTTCTTTTTACAATACACTGCATCATAAGCAGCGTGGGAATTCTTATAAAGGCACTCCTTGTGCAGACAGAGGGTGCTTAACTGACCAGGTCTTAAGCAGTGAGTTGGTTAATTTCCTGGAAATTGGAGCTGCTGATGGTTTTAGAAATAAAAATTATATTTTAAGTAATGGATACTCTAGGGAACAATATTTTCTTGACTTTCCCTGACATCTCAGCATGTTTGCCTTTCTTCCTGTGAATTGTGTGTTTGTATTTCTTGATCTGATTATTATAAAAGACCATCACCTGTCTCTGTTTAGCCACGGCAGACTTTTATCATTAGCAAAGTTATGATACATACATTGATGGAATAACAAATCCTCCTCATCTCAAGTAAGTTACTTTAGAGTCATGCCAGAAAGTTGAACGAATATTAGAAGTGGGTTAGTGAGTAGAAGTGGGTGTGGTTGGGGTGAAGAGTGAGAAAATAGATCATAAAAATTGCAGCAACCAGGGAGCCAAATGGACAAGATGCTTGTCTTCTATGGAGGAGGGAGAAGAAAGTAGATGGCTAGATTAGACAATGCTGTTTTTATTGGTAGAACACACTCTTTTCAAAGGACTCCTTTTCACTCCCACTAACACTGTGACGGAACAGATAGGGAGATCAGATCCTTAGTATGGTCATGTGGGTAAGCCAGCAACTTGAGAGTCAATGGCTGGTTCTTTCTGATGTGCCCTAAGACAAACTTTTTTGTTTCATCTTGATATATTACCTTATTAAGATGGATCAGTTAATATCATCTTAATATAAAACTGATATTGAAAGAATTAAATGCTCTTTCCTTAATGAATGTGAAATTGAATCAGTCATTATTTTCAAAGTTGACTTTTTTTGGAATATAGTCATAAGGGTCCTAGACTGGCACCCTGGATTTGTGTAACTTGCTGTGTGGTCCTAGGCAAGTCATGTCAAGTCTGTTCCCTTAGCTGTATAATCAGAGGGCCTAGATGATTTCTAATTTTCTTTCTAGATTAAAAAAAACTGTATATGATCTACTCTCTTTCTTTGCCTCTTGAATTTGTGTGCTCTCTACTGGAAAACTTAAAAAGTATAGATTAATCCTTGAAAATATTTTGTCTACCATAAATTATTCCATATGTTATAAGAAACAGCTGGTAGAACTAATGAATCAATGCTACTTCTGAAAAAATAGTGTAGTCTATATTATAATATGTAGATGTCAGTGGTCTTAAGTATACTATAAAATAATTGCTTCTTGAATTATTTAATTAAATCATTGATTATCTTAGGCTTACGATATCATCTAAAATAATTTGTTAGTTAAACTTCTACCTAAATGAATCTTGGTCTTAGGATATAACGCAATTTAAGTCTGAGTTTTAGGGTTTCAGTATGCCTGCACACTTTTTATTTTTTATTTCTCTTTTAGTGTCGCTTACCTGCTGTTGAGGCACTATGGTTGATTTCTCCTGAATCTTTATTCAGGACCAAAGATGTACTTAGGAAACTGGGTGAAAGCATACTGCAGAGAGTTTAAGCCTTTTTATCTTTTTAAGTCCTACATGTGTCTAGAAAAGGATCTTTCTCAAATAATACATGTGATTGATTATTCTGACTCTTAGCAAAGCCTTCCCATCAGAAAACATTGAGTAAATTTATGTATTTCCAGGAACAAGACACCAGGAAGGGATGCAGTCATTCCTATTTTCAATAACACTTTTAGGCTCCAAAAAAATGCTGGGATACTCAGTGCTTCAAAGGTGTTTAGAAAAATAGAAGGAATATAAAGGGTGTTGATACATGGCTAGCTTGAGACTGATCAGAGTGAGACTCACCATTCCAAGGCATGCAGCTTCTTGTTTAGTAACTGTAGCTCCTCAGATTCTCAACAGTAGCTGAGAATGTTCTGCACACATTCATACTCTCCCTGCTGTACTATGGACTGGGATGTTAGTTTCAAGGTTGTGGCAGTGCAAACAGTTATAATTAATTAACTAGCACAGTTTTAGCTGGATTTATTGTTAGGACCTAGTGATCTATTGGAAGTAATGGTAGAATAGTATTTCTTGTACCAGATCATAAAAGATTTATATAGATTTATTAGGAGATATGAGAAGAGCTAATTATAATTCTGTTGGGTAAATATAATGGGCACTTAGGTAAATGAGATAGCTGGAATAAACTTTAAGAGAAAATGTAAACAACAAGTGCAATTTAGTTTGATAGCTTTGTCTCATATATCTGATGTGGTCCACTTGATTTGACTTTAAGACTGTGAGAGAATTTACATATAATACTGGTGTTCATGTGCTCATGTATACATGAATATGTTTATGTTTGTGGTGTTATGAAGGAGTCCATTTTACTGAACCTTGTCATTTATATACTGTTTCAGTCTCAAGGTGGAAATGGAATATCCTCTTTGAAATATAAGTCATTTAACTCTTGAAAGACAAAGGGAAATTTGTGAGCTTGTGAACAGCTGGATAAAAGAGACTTAAAAGTTCCATCCATTTAATCATCATTTTCAGTGGCTTGGCAGGAAAGTTAAAAAGTATATGAATGAAATTCATAGGAAAATATAAAATGAAAAAGGTTGCTAACAACTTTATGAGTAAAGCTTTTATTTTGAGAATTATAGGGAAATTAGAAAATGGTACTAGGGACAAGAAGGTTCATGTTCATTTGATAATTTGAGGAATTTTATTCTACAATGAAAAGCTATTTAAATGTTGGCATAATAGAATGTACGAAACTAAGTATGGCAGATATATCAGCCATTACTCTGGGAGCAAAATTATCTTGTGGGGAATATCATGTCATGTGACTTTATGTTAAATTTAATATAGAAATTGTTTAAGTCAATGGGATGATATTTTCTGAAATAAAAGCTAAGGAGGCACAGATTTTTCAGTTCTTAGTTAAGTAGTGTAGTGATCTTTCATTTATCTTAAAGCTGTATCTTAAAACTTAACCCCTGAAATCTCAGTCTTCAGTGGAGTATCACATAGATTTTTGAATCCATAAAAATCAATAAATCTTCCAAAAGTATATTTGGAAAAGAACTTCTAAACTTTGAAACCTATGTACAAAATTTGAAAAATTCTTTGTTATTGAAAAAAATACTATAGTTATATAGTGAGATGATCTAAAATTTTATCTAGGCCTTTGCTAGCTCAAAGGAGGCCTAGAAATCTGATTTTCCAATAAGGAAAATGGGGATAATGTTGCCTTTATTTATCTGAAAAAGTTTTTGAAAATGCCATAAGAAGGCTGATGAAAGTTATAGGGTGTTAAGTATCTAACGATACATTTAATTTATCTTCAATTATGTATGAAGGCCAGTGTCTAAATTTATACCGCATTGTGTTAGCAATACCTGTGATTTTAAATGACGTTTCATTGTTTAGTAGCAGATTGGCAGATCATTCAGATTTATACTAATGATTACAATTAAATTCTATTTGAATGGTTTAGATATTGAGTTAAAGGTTTTATGTTTTAAATCACACTAAATCTTTTTTCTTGTAATTTGTGAGCTCTTTCTACATGAGAACATTGTATTTATAAATGCTATGAAAGTACAAGTGTTTAAAAACTTCTCAGGTAGACTTATTTATTTAAAAAAATCTATGAAATCTGTCCCAGCAGCTATGGAGAGAAAGAGATAACAGTGATGCCGTAATAATGGGTACTTACAGAAAGCGACGTGTTTAGGAAGCAGAGATGCTGACATGCAGGCCTTTATGTAAGTGCTGTTTGCTAAGGGATGAGGTCAGAAACATCAAGAAAAGATGGCAACTTCAATAAAAGAAAGTATGATCAGAAAGAATGAACCACATTCTCTAGAAGAGGCATAATACAGTATCAAATTCTAGAGTTGGGAGTGCCAGCCATGTATCCTCCAGGTTGCCCTGTGGGTTATACTTCAAACAGGGAAATAGACACAGGGAACCTATCTTATTTTAATGCTCTTGAGAAAAGGAGGTGGCATAACCACAGCTTGGAACCCGTTTCAAGGCTTTAATCTCACTTTCAGGAAACACCTGGGCTAAGAACCAAAGAGAATGGGAGGGACAGATGGAGAGCAGTATCCCAGACCCTGGAAATTGGACCAGACAAAACTCAGAAGAAAGGACCTTCTAGCTTTAGGATGAGCTAAATGTTTTCAAATTTCTTGGCCATCATCCAAATTCAAACATTTTCATTCTGCAGGGGGATTCAGAGGGAAATATGATTGGGAACCCAGGAGAAAGTAATGTTTTGGTTGCCATTCTTGTCATCAATTAGCCTCTTTCCAACAGTCTAATTAGATTGTAATAATTTTTCCATATATCATGGAGTAAATGCACCAGGATTCTACAACCTTACCTCTGTATA